GTGTGTGTGTGTATGCCCAAAATCTTGAGAGGAGAATGGAGGAGAAGGGATTACAGCGAGGCCATCCCCCTTGGGGAGTGATTCCTCACTTTTCCTCTCCCTTGATGAAAGCACAAAAGCATGCACCCTGTGGGAAAAATCTAAAATAATAAAATAATTTTAAAATAATAAAATTTTAAAAAGGAAGTAGTGACAATACTCTGGCCAAGACTGATAATCGTATCCCAGAATGACTTGTCACTTTATTCATTTTAGTACAAGATCATTTCAACAGGATTCAAGGCCAGCCAGGTGGAGACTGTATTTGTTCATCCTCCCTGGAAGCTAGATATGGTCACATGCCTAATGGAATAGAGCTAGAATTAAATTATGTCAGGGGTGAATACATTTTACCCTGGAAATAAAAATACACAGAATGTTGCAGAATAGAATGACAGAGACCTAAATCTTGGGAAGATTTCACAGAGTAAAACTAGCTCTCATACTCAGAACTACCTACCTTACGTGAGATAGCAATAAACCTCTATCTGCTTTGAACCACTCTACTGTAATTTTTATTTATCACTTGTAGTATCGAGACAGGAGTTGGACCCCATTAACAGGTAGATAGAGCAGCCCGGCCCCTCAGAGAAGAGCCAATGCTGTGTGACTCCTGACAATTCCTCTTCTCCCAGTCACCATATGCCTTAGATCTTAGACAAGTAAATCTTGTTCTTGAATAATTTATGGCCCAAAGCTGCTAGATGAAGAATCTCCTGACCTTCAAACTCACTCCAAAATTACAAGAATAATTGAATGCATGTGCCCTTCCCCACCATGAGGGGAATGCATGTACAAGTCCCACCTATAACAAGTCCAGAAAAAGCCCTTCTTGATCAAAATAAAAACCCCTCTCCTCATTTCTTCCTTAGCAATCCATTTTCTGGAACCCCTCTCATCTTGAGAGCTCTGTTTTTTCTTTCCTCTCCTGTAATAAACTCCCCACTTTGATATTCCTACTCTCTGTGCCCATAACTCTAATTCTTTCTGAGAATCAGACAAGAACCGTGTCTCACTGTGAGTGCTGGGCCCAATCACCCCTATACCTCTGTGTTCCTACTTTAGCAGCCTAGCGTAAACCTAAGTATATAACCGTTTTTGAGTCAATCTAAACAATCAAATACAAATGTAATATACAAAGGGACTATAAGAAGGTTGTGAAATAATGGAATTAAAGTATAAGTTTATTTTTGGTACAAAACTTTTGAAATTCATGCATAATTTTTTCACAGTACACATTTCCACGAACTTTTTGAAGACCCTTAGTATGTTTGAGCAATTAAGGAAAAAAATAAGGCCAACACAATTTTTCATCTGTACTCTCTGGATTTTCCTTACTATAACAATCTCATACCACATACAATCCTAAACTAATACTAATTCAATATTTTCTAGTACTAAATTTATTCTGGATGAGAAGAAAAAATAATTAATTCACTGTTGTTTATTTGAAAATTTTTATGTAACAAAATTTTACTGCTACTTGTCCTCTGAATCTATATAAAGAAAAATAATTTTCAGTTTTGGGTCCATTATATGATTCTAAGTTTTTGCACAACCTACTTAAAATTTTTCAACTTTGGATAATCTGTATAGCTACACCGAATTAAAAATAAAGCACACATCTCTCAAACAGCTAGTTAATACAGATAAATACGTGTTCATTATTTAAAAATAAAGAAGGTGCAGTGTGTCCTAATTTACTTTTTAAAAGAAGGATCTATTTCCTTAATTTTATTTGTTATTATTTTAATCTGCAACAGAGCATGTATGCTCCCAGAGAGAGAGAGAGAGAGAGAGCAAGCAGCCAGGTCCAGGACTTGAACCACAGTCAGTCATGTGGGAGTCCAGCATCCTAAACACCATGCCACCTGCTGGTCTCTATTATTTTTTAGCTTTTAATTGGACGAGAGAGAGAAAGAGAGAAAGTGAGAAAGCAAGCTTCTAAGACTGGGACTTGAATAATCACAGTCGGACACATGGGAATACAGCATCTGAACCACCACGCCACCTGCCAGCCCCCATAAATTATTTTTTTCTAAATGGTCTATGCCTTGGCAAAGTTTGATGTGAGAACACATTATTAATATTAATTATTTCCTTTTGATCAACACACTTTCATGGAATCCAAAAATGAATCTACTGAAAACAAACAAAAAAAACCTGCTATGATTGTCTTGAACTTAAATTCTAGGCCATAATAAATATCTGACTGGCTGTCAGAGAAAGGGCAAGAATTTACCAGCTGAAGATTAAAGTTGGCCCCATGCCCTTGGGTGATGTAAATGGTAGAACCTGTGTACACTCTGGGACTCTTTTAACTTGTGACCTGGCAATCCCATGATCCTGTCAAGGGGATCAAGTCTTGTCAAGCCTGGCTCTCCAGTATTTGTGCCCTTGCCCTCTTCATGGTCATGGCTTTCATATGGGCAATGTAGTCTTGGGCAAATTCAGAGAATATACATCATCTCTAGATCAACATTTTAACTAATCGTTTGTGTATTTTTTTTTGAGAGGTTTTTGCTATAGGGTGCGTGCCCTTGCCAGACAGACAGAGAGAGACAAAGAGTCAGAAAGCGAGAAATCACCCCCCAGGGGGGATGGCCACACCACAATCCCTTCTCCTCCATTCTCCTCTCGGGATCCTGGGCATGCACACACACATGCCCGGCATGAGTTTTAAGGCACTGGATCCAGGACTTGAACCACAGTCAACTACATGGGAGTCCAGCAACATAGTCATTATGCTAACTGCTGGTTCCCATGTGTGTATTTTATAAGGACTTATTTACAATCTATCTAATTCTTAATAAGCTTTAGGGATATTCTCACTATTATTTACCTTTTTTTTCTTTTTTAGGGAGAGATTTTTGTTTTAGGTTGTATGTGCTCGCCAGAGAGACAGAAAGCAAGAAATCACCCCCCAGGGAGATGGTCAGTCCACGACCCCTTCTCTTCAGTTCTCCTCTTGGGATCTTGAGTATGCATGCACATGCGCCTACCATGAGTTTAAAGTCACTGGGTCTGGGACTCAAACCACAGTCAACTATGTGGGAGTCCAGCAATGAACCATTATGAACCATTTGAACCATTATGCCATGTGCTGGTCCAAGCTTATCTTTTGTTTTCATTGTTGTCCAAAATACACAGTTAAACTATTGATGAATTTTTAAAGAACGGGAAATAAAGCAAGATAATATTTATAATTCTATTATGGTTGTGCATCGGTACTTCCTTACAAAGTCACATGCTGTGTGTCTTCATGTATGTTAAAAATAACCTTCTGTGATATAGGTTTTACCTTTCCCCAGGCAACTTCGGAATCCAAATTACTAGGCACTCCTTCAACTGCTGATCTCTTTGTCAATTCCATATCTGTAGCTGCCAGCCATTCTGTCAAGGCATTCATTTCCTTTCGCATCTTACGGGACAATTTCAAGCATTTTTCCAACTGTTGCTTTCTTTCTGTTACCTGAAAAGAATGATAAATGCAGTTTGGATTCTTTTTCAAGTCAAGTTTAGTTACACACACTTGACTGACACTTTCATATTTCTGACATTTCAAAATAACCATTTTTTTTATGGTTCTAATTGTTATAGAAAAGTCATATATTCTGAATATTAACAATGAATTAAACCAGTCTAATGCAGATGAAATCCTTTATCCAAAACGTAGTGTCTTGTATCTGCTGTCATCTTAGAAAGGAAAGCTGTAAGAATTTTTCTCTAGTACAAATAAAAAAATAATTCATAGTCAAAGTTTATAACAAATAGAATTATATAAGTCAAACTAAATGTATGTCCTATTTCTTGTAGAAAACCTACAGTCATTTCTCAAAAAGACTGGCCAGAAGGTTTATCATCTTATGTATACAAATAAGGCATGCTCTTGTTGATAAGGAATCCAAGTGGAAAATAATACTATTTCTCACAAGAGCTAAAGGTATTTGCATAATACTCAGAATGATCAATTTTATCTTCATTGCATCTTTGAAGTGTCTTACTTTCGGGCATAAACAACACAAAGAATCAGTTACTTCCTTCTTAACATAATATTATCATCCAACAGAGACACACATGCATATGTGCCCAGCGTGATTTTCAAGTTGTGGTTTCTGGGACTTGAAGCTCAGTTGATCATGTGGGAGTCAAGTACTTTAACCACCATTCCACCTGCTGGCCCCAGTTCAAATTTCTTAAAAGCAAGTGGCTTTGTCTAACACCTCTTGAGATCATTCCATTATGCTCCTCACAGTTTCTTTTCTTTCTTTATCTTTTAAAGAATTATTTTATTTAAGCTTATTTATTTTTTAATTTGACTATAGAGGGACAGAGCAAGAGAGAGAGAGAGAAAGAGAAAGTGAGAGAGCAAGTCGCCAGGTCCAGGACATGAACCACTGTCGACCATGTGGTAGTCCAACAACCTTAAGCACCACGTCACCTGCCAGCCCCTTCCTCACAGATTCTTGAACAAAGAAGGATCTCATGAAGTATTTTAAATGTTGAATAAAGCAATGAAAGAAAACTTGCAAATCATGAAGTACAGGTCCAAAAACAAACCTGCTAACAATTAAATAATTTAAATTGTTTTTATGTGTCTTAATTATATGCAGAAAAAATAGAAACACTTTTCTGTCATGGAGTCTGGAAATCTGAACATTAGAAGTAAACTCCTAACTCTGCAGAGGCAGCATGGTGGAATGTATGCACACTAGCCTCTGGAACACATAGCAAACTCTCAACTTGACTATGATTTTTTTTTCTTTTTTTGGAGAGATTTTCACTGTAGGGCGCGTGCACTCGCCAGACAGACAGAGAGAGACATAGAGACAGAAAGCGAGAAATCACCCCCCAGGGGGGATGGTCACACTGCAATCCCTTCTCCTCCATTCTCCTCTCGAGATCTTGGGCACGCACGCACACGTGCCCAGCGTGAGTTTAAGCCACCAGGTCCAGGACTCAAACCGCGGTCGACTACGTGGGAGTCCAGCGACATAGCCATTACGCTAACTGCTGGTCCCAACTTGACTATGATGTTAAGCAGGACACAGGATTTTCCTCAGTTCATACATTCTGTCAAATGGGCCTATGCTGTTTAGCACTTAGGGTCATTATGAGGGTTAAATCACACAAAAGTTAGAGAGCTTGACACATCACAACACCTCAATCCCTTTAATAGTAACTGTACCTGAATGTACCTACAAAAGCTTCATTGACATTTATTTTACTACTTCACAGGTAGAGAAAATGTCACAAAGATTGGACTTTTATTTCTAAGAGATCTGAAAAGTAGAGTCCAGATTAATCTCAACAATAAAGGAATTGGTTTGGTTAAAGTAATAAAAATGACACATGTGTATTTGTGCATCATGTCCTGGGCATAGTACGTCACACTGATACACACACACACACACACACACACACACACACACAACCAATCAAAATAATCTAGCTGTAAGCATAAAAAAAAAACACTGAAATTGAGGATATGCATAAAGATTTTAAATGCTATCATCAAAATATGTATAAAGATTTTTAAATGCTAAAATCAAAATAAACATTCTTGATATGAATTTCAAATACTCAACACGATTAATTACTTCCTTTAAAAGAGGAGTGTGTACAGTATAAAATGTTTAGTTGCTGAGACTGCATATTCTTTTTCTTTTCTTTTCAACAGATTTTCTCTTCCATTTTTTTTCCCCGAAGAGAAGAAAAAGCATCTGCCATTTCGTTTACAAGGAGTTTGTGTGTGGGAGAAAAAAAAGTCTACCTTCTGGGGTTTTCTATGCATAGTTATTTTTTTCTATGCACTATTCGTTGAAAAAGGATTCTAGATTCAATATTTCAAAGAAATTCTATCTTCCCAAAGCTAATGCATTATTGATTTTTATTTATTTTATTTTGTTTATATCCAGTTAAATAGGTTTTTTAAAAAACAGGAGACACTGCCATCTTAAGGAAAATTGAGTTTTACACATTTTTGTTGTGGGGAATGGATACATTTAAAAGAGTGCCACCTGCAGTAAAGTGTTGAAGTAGTCATTTTTTCATGAACACTTAAAAATGTATTTTGATATAATATTGCTCTTTGTAAATAACTTACATAAAATACAAAGCATAGAGAAAAAAAAAAAGAAGTATAGGTATTATTACGTTAAGGAGGCTAGGTTTATCTCTCAATATAATAAGTTAGATTTAGATATTGGAAACTATTCCGTTTTCTTCATTGAACAATGAAGTTAAGTGATTAACATTTTAAAAAATATTTAATTATCTATTTATTATTATCATTATATTTTAATTTGATAAGAAAAGGAAAGAGAGAAAGAGAGTGTGAGGGAGAGAGAAAGTGAGAGAGCAAGCCGCCAGGTCTGAGACTCAAACTGGGTTCGGCACTGAGGGCAACCAGCACCTTAAGCACCACACCACCTGCTGGCTCCAAGTGATTACCATTTTTAAAAAATAATATAATTGTGTCCTATAAGAAAAGTGCTATGGTCTGCGTACTCCCCTGTCCTGCCCTTCAATATGAGTCGCTGCATTTGATCTTTAGGAAGTACAGCCATGTGTTACTTAACAACAGGGATATGTTCTTAGAAATGTGTCATTAGGCAATTCTGTCATTGTGCCAACATGCAGAGTGGCAGAAAGGAAGTCATAAGGATGAGGCTCTAATTTGATAGGACTGTAGCCTTATAAGAAGAGGAAGAGATCTCTCTCTCCATCTTCTCACAGCCACATGAGGACACAGTGAGAAGGCAGTCATCTGCAAGTCAGGAAGAGATCCCTTTCTAGGAACCAAATGGCCTGCACCTTGATCTTAGATTTTTCAGATTCTAGAACTCTTTTTTCAGAGATTTTTGCTATAGGGTGTGTGCGCTTGCCAGAGAGACAGAGAAAAAAGGCAGGAAATCACCCCCAAGAGAGGGATAGCCACGTCTCTCCTCCATTCTCTCGGGATCTGGGGCATGCACACACACATGCCTACAGTGAGTTTTAAATCTTCAGGTCCAGAACTTGACCCACAGTAGATATGTGGGAGTCCAGTGACATAATCATGATGCCATCTTTTGGGGCCCAGGTTCTAGAATTTTGAGAAATAATTTTTGTCGTTTTAGCCATGCAGCCTATTCTATTTTGTTACAGCAGCCTGAACTGACTACCACCAAATGGGGGAGGCTGAGAGGAAGGGAATGAAGAAGAGGAAAAAAAGACACAAAATACTTCAGGGACCCAAAATGGAGAGAAATCTGTTGATTATACTGTATACTGTATTTATTTTGATTGGATCTATATGCAGTATATTCATGATGGGAAAATTCCTTTGACATGCTGTAATGCTACACAGTGATTAAATGTAAAAAATAAATTTATTTAAAAAAATTTTAAAAAGGAACACAGATTGAATTGAGGCAAATATAACCATGTAAATTCTAAATGTGAATAGAAAAGATTTTTTTTTATTTTTCATATAAACATAATAATGGAATAAAATACCCCTTGTTACCTTTGCATTTATTAAACAAAACCACTGCTGCTGAAGCTAATTAGAACAAAATACAGACAATTGGGGCCAGCAGGTGGTGTGGTGGTTAAGGGCGCTGGACTCATATGTGGCCAATCACATTTAGAGTCCAGGACCTGATGACTTGCTTTCTGACTTTCTCTTTCTCTCTCACTCTCTTGCTCTGACCCTCTCTGGTCAAATAAAATAATTGAACTTTTATTTACTTATTTATTTATTTAGTTTTTGTTTGTTTGTTTGTTTGTTTGTTTTTTAGTTTGACCAGAGAGGGACAGAGTACCAGAAAGGTACTCTGAGAGAGAAAAGTGAGAAAGCAAGCCACCAGGTCTGACACTTGAGCTGTGGTCAGCCACATGGGAGTCCAATGCCCTTAACCACCACACTACCTGCTGGCCCTAAAATAATTCTTTAAAAAAAAATATGCAGGCATCTACTTTCTTCTCAGCCCAGGAATACATGATTTAGGACAGTTTTATAAGATGGTATTTATGCATGATCTCTTAGTCATTAATGTTTCTAAATTAATATTGATTTCAAAAATAAATTTCTGCTCTATTGCTCTATTCTTTTGTTGTAGTATGTCATACCATTAAAGTTAAATATGATTTCTTAGTATTCCTTTCATTTTGCTCAGATGATATTACTAAGTGTCAAATGGTTAAAATAAACATAAGCTCTCAAATATGTATTTTCAGGGATAAATAGGGCTTTACATCATTATGAGAGTCATTAAATTCTTAATAATAATCAGCTCAGGATACTAATAGTCTTCCAATGTCATTTTTATTGTTTTAAATTCAAAGCGATTTATTCTATGTAATTATACATTAAATTTATTCTTGCAAAAGCAAAGATTTTGTGTAAACACTTTATAGCAAAGAAAATACCCAGGCAATAATTTATATTTGAAAAAGTAAACTGAGAAAACCACCATTCTCAAAATATATATTTTCTTAATTAAAAAAAAGACATTTGACATATTATTTTAGCATAAAGTCACAGAAGCAGATTTATAAACTGCTGAGTATAAAGAGAATAGATCTCTAGAACTGAATAAATTGTAGTAGTAGGATTAATACAGAATAAAAGTCCCATAAATAAATCCATGCATTTAGGGTCAACTTTTCTTTGGCAAATATGCCAAGAATACACAATGAGGAAAGGACAGACTCGTCAATAAATGGTGTTGGAAAACTTGTATATTTACATGGAGAAGAATAAAATTGGACCCTTTTCTCACTCTACTTACAAAAGTAAACTCGAAATGGGTTAAACACTTAAATGTAAGACCTGAAACTGTAAAAAAAAAAAAAGAAAGAAAGAAAGAAGGAAAGAAAAAAAGAAAGAAAGAAAGAAAAAAATACTGGAAGAATCCATAGAGAAAATATTCTTGACATTGGCCTAGACAGTGATTTTTATTTAAAGTATTATCCCAAAAGCACAGACAACAAAAGTAAAAATAGACAAATAAGACTATATCAAACCAAAAAGCTTCTAGGGACCAGTAGTTAGCATAATGGTTATGTCGCTGAACTCCCATGTAGTCAACCACGGTTCAAATCCTGGACCCGGTGTCTTAAACTCATGCTGGGCGTGTGTGCGTGCGTGCCCAAGATCACAAGAGGAGAATGGAGGAGAAAGAATTGCAGCGTGGCCATCTCCCCTGGGGCGGTGATTTCTTGCTTTCTATCTCTCTGTCTCTCTGGCAAGCCCTCACACCCTGTAGCAAAAACCTCTCCAAAAAAAAAAAAAATTTCCAGGAAGCAAAGGGAGTAATTGATCAGTAAAGAAACTATGAACACATTGAAAAGACAACTATCTTTGATTTCAAGCCATTAAAGCTTTAAAAATACAGTTTATTTGAGTTGAGGGAAGATAGATAACTACACTAGACCTCACTAAACAGTTCTAGAAAGAGGAGATAAACAGAAGTAAGCACCTCTAATTAATAGTGAGATAGAGTTGGTCATGAGACTCTCATTAGGGAAACAATATAAAAACAATCTCAGAGCCATAGCATGTCATTGGCTATCCTATTCAAGGTTTAGCACATGGAGAAATAATTTCAATAGAATATGCCAACTTCATTATTCTGAAACCTTAACAGGTACAGGAGTTTATGATATTTGCCATTCTTCAAGTCATCACAGGTAGATTTATACAATGAAGACAATGCAAATTTAGAATAAAGAAAGGCCAGCAGGTGGCATAGTAATTAAGGCACTAGACATCCACATGTCCAACAGTGGTTCAAATCCTGGACCTAGTGACTTGAAAATCATGCCAGGCTCATGTGCATGAGGCCCAAAATCCTAGGAGGACAGTGAAAGAAAAAAAACCTGCAGGACAGTCAAACAGTTACCTGGGTGAGGATGGTGAGAAAAGGGACCCACACATACACAGGCTCACAGAACTCCCACAGACATACACAGAGTGAAGATCTGACGAGGTGTTGAGCAAGTCTCGTTTATTAAGGAAGAACAGCGAGCTTATATACAGGCTGGTGGGCATTGATTGGTTGCCCGAAATGCAAATGAGATAGAACAGCATGGACCAATCACTGGTATGGGTGGATCTCTTCCATTGCCTAGAAACCCAAACACCCCACAGGAAGAACGGTTGGTCATATGATTTCTGAGAAACGATTTGCTCAATGAGGAAGTGAAACCTAACGATTTCCTAAGATGCCGTATAGCTCAAAATGGCTTCCGTATGCAGTGTCCTCCACAGAAGAGAAGGGGTTGTGGCATTGTGGAAGGCCGTACATTAGATCTTACACATGAGCAACTGTTCGGCCATTTTGTTCCCTTACCCTAACATGGTTGTCTGCTTCTGTAAACCTGCTTGCTCTTCCCATGAGAAAATAGCTTGTGCTAGCCATACAGAAAATCACATTCAGGACGCCATCTGGTACTTGTTACTGTCTTTGCTAAGTAGCCCAAAATCCTTTCGTTTAGATGTTCCTTGGCGATGTAACTACCAATCACCAGACCCCCACCCAGAACCATGGAGACCATTAAGCAAAGGTCTAGAGAGTGCTCTTAGAAATAATTGACCTGCTTGATTCAGCCTCTGTAATTGCTTGCATGGAAACCCCACTCCCTTTCCTGACATTTTGGACTTCCTGGACTCCTGGTAACCAACCTCCTATAAAAAGACTGCTCAAACTTTGATAGGGACTGCAGTTCTGACTCTAGACTCAGAGCCTCAGGCTATAGTCACTGGTCAGCTAATAAAGACTCCCTTGGGAACCAGCAGTTAGCATAATGGCTATGTCGCTGGACTCCCACATAGTCAACCGCGGTTCACGTCCCGGACCCGGTGGCTTAGAACTCACGCCAGGCGTGTGTGCATGCGTGCCCAAGATCCCGAGAGGAGAATGGAGGAGAAGGGATTGCGGCGTGACCATCCCC